TTTAAGGTTCCTTTAAGGGTTCCTTTAAGGGATCTATAAGGGCTCCTTCAAGGGTTTATGGTGATTTAGTTTCAGTTGCCATAATAAGGAACCACATTGTATTTACTATAGATCCCTAGTATGGTGACTTAACTTAAATCCCCAGACCCCTCGGAGGATCTAGAAAGTAGATCCCCTACTTTGGGGCCCTATTCTAAGGGTACTTTATAGGAACCCCCATTAAGGGATCTACTTTTTGGATCCTCCCGGGATTCTGGGTCAAAACCCTGAACCCTAAACCCCTAATAAAACCCTAAACCCCTAAATCAGAGCCCAGTTGCTCTTGGCGTAGGCCACGGCATCGAGGATGTCTTGGGGCATCGGATCCTTCCGAGGGTCCCAGAGGCCCTTGCGCAGCTGCTCCCCCATGGAGAACCATAGGCTCGCCTCTTGTTTAAGAATTTAGTTTAAGGTGCCATAATGAGGATCTATAAGGGCTCCTTTAAGCGATCCATAAGGGTTCTGTGAGGGTTCTTGCAAAGGGGTTGAGAACCCAGATGGCTCGCCTCCCAACCCCAGTCGTCTGTGGCATTGAACCGCGATGCATGCAGCGAGTTGCGTGGCTCATAGACGATGTGGTCGATACCAAGCTCAGCGTTGCGGTCGAAGATTCGGCGATACTCTGCCTTACCCTCATCCACACCAACATCGATCTGGTAGTCGTTCTCGTCCCACGCAACATTGACCTTCACGGTGCCTGCCGCGCGAGCCACGCGATCAAGCTGGCAAGCCTCCACGGCGTGCTTAAATGCACGCGCCTCTCCAGTCGAAAGACCCGAGATCGAGTATTTGCTGAGTGTGGTCAGGCCAAGAACAAGGGGTTCTGTGATGAACTCGGCACCTTCTGGGTTCCCCCGTGCCCCCTTGAAAAACACAGGTACTCTTTTCCTACTTTTTAATGAGGGAACCCGAAAATTAAAGGGCAAAGGCTACTACTACAGGAAAACCTCGCCTTGCAGCGTTGGCTTGTGTGTGACCTTACCTGCATAGGAAGCTGTGATTGCTGCGCAAGTCGGGCTGCCGTCAGCACAGGCCTTCGCTGAGGCCAGCTGATGCCCAAAGGGGTTAGCGACAGAGACAAAGATGCCGCTCTTCACATCCTGAAACCCGACGCCAGTAGTCATAGCAAAGATGATAGTAACAGCTACAATAACAGCAATAGCAACAAGAAGAACAATCATGACAACTATGATGATTCCGGTAATACTGGTAATGATTAGCAGTGATTAGCACTGATGCCAAGAGTAACGACTCCTTCCAGCGTACGAAGCCAGCGATCTCGAAGCCTTGGTTCCATGCATTGTTGCGCAGGAACCATGTGGGGGCCTGCTTAGCGGTGTCCCAGCGAGCGAGCGTGTCCTTCATGAATGTGGCTGCTTCAAAATTGATGGCGCCTGCTTCAGTGGCTGTGCTCGCATAAGATACCGAGATTTGCTTCTCCAGGTGTTGCGCCTCCATAGGCAGCGTGTACAAAATCTTGACTGTGAGGTTGCCGCAGAGGTACTTGAAAGACACAATGTTGCCATCCTCTGTCTGGATCTTAGTAGGGAATTGGGGTTTAGGGGTTTAGGGGTTTAGGGGTTTAGGGGTTTAGGGGTTTAGGGTTTAGGGTTTAGGGTTTAGGGTCTTAGTAGGGAATGGGGAAATGGATTATAGAGACTATCATTGGGGATTATATAGGGACTACTTTAGGGATCCATTCCCCCATTCCCTACTAAGAACCAGCGAGTCCTGCTTCGCGGTCGAGGAGTTGCAGCCGTTACTTGCGGAGAGCGTGCGGTTGTTCAGCTGCAGCTCCCAGTAGTCGCCAGAGACTTCCACACGGTCCGACACCTGCGGCTTTCCCGAAACAGAGGACCTTGTTGGTTTAGGGTTTAGGGTTTTAGGGTTTAGGTTTAAGTGACTCTGAAGGGCGGTTGGAGCGGCTAGATCAGTACAACTGAGTAATTTCGCTTGGTAAAACTCGCGCACCTGGCCAGCGTGGCCAAACGCCACGAGCCCGGCCGTCTGATCAAAATCGGCAGCAACGATTCCATTCTCAATATGCAACACAGATGCTGCATGAGCAGTAAGGCAGGAAGCCGCAATGATGCACAGTTGCCAGAGCCACATGCGGGCGAGGATCAGCTACAAAACAAAACAAAAAGACTCGCCTTTACTTTCCCCCATCTGGAGCACAAATTTTGCAGCGGGAGATCACACGGAAGCTTCACTCCTCAAAACGACGAGAAAAGCCAGAGACACCCCCATGCTGTCAAACCCCGCACGTGATGGACCTACGAGGGGTGCAGCACCCCCTCGAAACGAGGTATGCATACATTGAACGAACTGCATCAAACAAAACAACTTCAAGTATGCAGGCACTACGCAGGCCTTCAGAATTTCAGTAGAAGGCAAACATTCCCGCCCAATGCTGGCTGCAAAATGGCGAATATAGCCGTAATGATTACTTGTACTATTTTTTTGGGGGGGGTTCCGTATTATAACTATACTATAATATACCCCCCCCCCCCAACTCCCTACATTTTTTGAGGCCCCTATACTAGCAGTATGGCTGCACTGACCCACAATCTTGATTGCCAAAGGGCCCAAAAAGGTGCCTCCGCCAATGCTACTCGGGCTTTAGGGCTGGAGGGCTTTAGGGCCTGGGGCTTTAGGGCTTAGGGTGTAGGGCTTTAAGGCTTTAGGGCTTTAGGGTTTAAGGTTTAGGGTTTATAAGGTCTAGGGCTGGCGAAAAAAAGAGGGGGGCTGATAATGCAGGGGCCTTGGTAATTAGACCTGAGGCTTTGGGGTAATTTAGAATCTATGTCCAAGTAGGAGCCGAAGAATAAACCCTTGTATGTTGGCCCCTGAAACATGGTGCTGCCTACAGGGTTTTGGGTCTAGGGCTTTGGGGTTGTTATAGCCAAACATGCGAGTAACAGCAGAGAGCTCGCCCCTAAACCCTCTACTGCATGCTCTGAGCCCGGTGCTTAAGGGAGAATGGAAGAGGTCACACAGGCACGACTACAAGGGATCATACAGGAAGTATTTTTGTTTGGGCATCCCCTCTCCTACACCTTAAACCCTAATAAACCCAACCCTAAACCACACCCACTCCCCCAGCTGCACCTGCAGAACTCGAAGTTCCCGTGCAGAATGCATGGCTTCATCCTGTGCAGCGCTTGACTGAAGCTTTCTGTGGGCTGCCGGGGATTTCTACCACATTGGGGCTTCCAGTAGGTCTTGTCAAAGTGTGAAGTCGTTCAAACGCATGGCTCGCAGATCTTGAGGGCCGCCGTTCAGCAGGACTGCAGACACGCCTCAACAAAGGGGTGTCCGGGAGATTTTGGTCTTTTTTACTCAGGCTTCATGATTGTTTCGTCGGCTTCTTGCAGCAATCCCTAAACCCTAAACCCTAAACCCCTAACCCTAAACCCCTAAACCCCTAAACCCTAAGCCCAAAACCTTCTGTCATGTACCTCTACAGCCTAAGGTTTTGCGACTCCCCGATGTCATTGTCATCGACACAGTGCATAACCTAATCCTGCAAAGAACCCTGATGGTAATCATCAAGCGGCTGTAAGTCAAAAATTCCTTTGGGTGGTCATGGTCAATTTGGCCCCGCGACCAACTGATCCCAAGCTGGGCTCTGCTAAGACTCCGGAGGAGGAGACACAAAATACTCGGCCCGGAGTGAATATGCCCACGTGGAATCTTGGCACTTGGCGCACTGCCGTCACCCCAGACTATCCAAACCCTAAACCCAAGCTTAAATCGAAGATTTGCAGGGTGGCTGGCTCTTCATGGCCACAGCACCAAGTCCTAAACCTGCACCTGTACAGCGCGACCATGTGCTTAAACCTACACAAATGTTTAGACATGTCATACCAAACAATGACTGTATGTAACTACTATAAGGTCGATATAGTTCCAAAGATAAGGTCACTACCACAAGCATAAGACTATACGGTTACAAACTACAAACATCACCCCAAGGTTCTCTTACCATCCGCATCCACCGAGCCTCCGCTTCCTTGCCGGTGTTGGCGCCGAAGGCTGATCAACCATATCCAAGACATCGAGGAAAATCATGGCAATAATGGCCCCAAGTACGGATGCTCTCCTGGTAACTATAGCTTGAGCACAGCCAACAACCCCATGTCGCCGTGGTGGGCAAACAATCTACGGGCCTGGCTCTTCACCCGGGAAAAGGCAGTCCTCGGAGAATTGAATAGACCAACTGGCTTCTGATCAACATGCGAATGCCGAACTATATGATAGACAGTCTATGACAGGCAGTTTTCACTCCCCTAGGCCCTAGATTCGGAACCATCTGCTCCATTACTAGGACATGACATGCGCAAACACTTGCAAGACACATTGCACCCTAAACCCCAAACCCCACCGGTGGTTCGGTCCATGCACCGTCATTCCGTTGCGATCTGGGCGGTAAATCACAACAGACACCGGGGAAGCTCCAGAAACAGCTGCGCCTATGCGTTTTGGGAACTTGCCAGCACCGAAACAGGGTTTCGGTTGTGGTTTCAAGGGGTTTAGGATTTAGGGTTTCGGGCAACATACAGGGCCTACTTCTAAGCTTCCCCAACACAATGACACAAACTTCTCAACCCTCCAAAGTGCTCCAGACAGACGGCCGCTTTTCCTGAGGAGTGGTCAAAGGGCAAAAAACGTGATGCAAGGATTTCGTGGCCATTCCTGTCAGAGGCGCCTTCCTCGAATACACGGTGCCTTAGTAGGTAGAGTAGGGCTCGGGGTAGAAACCTTAAGGAATAGTTTTCACAATCAGGCAGGTTTCTACATTGGTTGGGCTCCCTTCGCTGTCAAGTACTGCACACTTGGGAATCGGGTTCTGGGCGATTCGGTCAGAATGTGATGTGCAGCTGACCATGGGCTTTACGATTTGCAAGAACTTCATAGATTCATAGACTGTTCAAATTCATGAATCCATTGCAACAAATTTAATCCCAACAAGCTTCCGACTCAAGCCCCGCACGTGGCAAACATGGGAGATGGGTGGAACGTATCGTATTTTCCAGTTTCTTCGCGCATCTCGTCGGGTTCCTGTCCGGATCCATAAGCATCTTCGGATCCCGCAAGCGGCCTTCCGAAGGGTCAGATGTCGAGGAGGACGCACATGTTCAAGAGGGGTCAGGGTTTCAGGGTTTAGGGTTCACATGCTTCGAAAGTCCAGGGTCCTGACAGTTTTCTAAGCCACGGCGCTTAAAGAATAAACAACGAAACACCTTCAAAAAACATCTTCAACCAAGACCATAAGCTCTCAGAAAGGGGCTGGACTTCTACTCGCACTTCTGGCTTGCTTGCGATCGAACTACAAAGCCGGCAGAAACCGAAGCGAAATGGTATCGAACAATTTGTTGGTTCGGGCTCAAGGCTTGGGGTTCAGGTACTTAAAGGATCAAGGGACTTAGTAAGCAGGGGTAGAAGTAAGGAGTCACTTACAACTATATCTACTTATGACCCACGTTACTCAATCCCATGATGCCCCAAGTAGGTCCTAAACCCCACACCCCTAAATCCCGGAACCCTTTAAAGGAGCCCCGCAAGGACCCCTTTTAGGAACCCAAAGTCGCATGATGCCCAAGCACCAGGGGGAGCCCAGGAGCTTCCGTGGCGCTTGCAGGACGGTTTGGGGCCTTAGGGTATCAGGTTTAGGGTATAAGGTTTAGGGTATGGTAGAAAATGTCCAGGGTTTGGGTGCCAATAAATTTTGAGCGAAACGTTTTGACCGAAAGTTTTTGTTTAGGAACTTGGTTCTGGGAACTGAGTTGCTGGGCTGGACTGCGCTGCGGAATTTCTTGGCTTTGTTTTGGTGCTGGGCTGGGCTGGGCGAACTACATTAATGTCACAGACCTCCCTCTGCTTCTGCAGCTCGCGCTGCAGATTGATTTTTGCAGCTTCCTCGCACGCATGAAAGAATGAATTTGAAATGCTTTAGGGCGACGGTATCTCCGCAAGAGTTTCAAGACGCGGGAAATTGTTGCTGGCCTCCCGTTGTCGGGCAGCTTCTTTCCTCCTCTCTTCTTCTTTCTTCCTCAAGTACTGCTTCCACGTCCCCTTCAGGTTTAAAGGAACGGTTGATTAAAGATTCTAGATTGATTTCAGGTTGATGGATCTAGACCTTGTATTTGACATGTGTTCCAGCGCTGAAGGCAATACGTCTTTCCTGATCATGTCTGCAATCCGGCCTGCTGCCACGCGAGCCAGCGGTCGCTCTTTCGCTGCCTTCTGTCCCCCGCCGTCATGGCGAGGCAGCGCACGTGGTGGTGTTACGTGCTTCTGCCAGACAAGGATGAGCAAGTGAGTGCTTGATTGGGTGAGTAAGCGAGTGAGTGAGTGAACGAGCGGGGGAGTGAGAGAGTGAGCAGATGATGATGTTGGTGATGAATGCAACCGGGAGGACGGATGCGTGTGGAAATGCAAAGTCAAAGTGACCTGTCTTCTCCGGGGGGACAGGGACCAGCCAGCGCAACTGCGGGGTGCGATCATACATGAGCGAGTGCCGCACAGACCGATCAATGAATGGTTGTTGATTGCAAATGACCGCTATGTCTGAACTTTCGGCATTAAGCATCACAAGTTTATTTACGAATACAGACCGGATTAAAGTCGGATCTGTGATATGATAGTTTCTGTGGATCGGTGTAAAAACCTGTACCTCGTGATCAGGATTCTCAACCACCTATCAAGGGTCATCGATCGCCTCATGTAGATCCACAGACGCGATCAGTCAATAATGAAAGCAACGAGTCGTCGTTTCGCGTGCACATGTAGTACACTGACTCAGAGGCGGTATTGCTCACTATTATACATCAGGAGCATTGGCCACTCGGTCTACAAGCAATGCAGGAGTCTCTTTTCGGCTCATAGCTGTAGTCGGTACGAATGCGGAAGCGCTCACGCTTGGCGTAGAGGTGTTCGAGGAGCTGTGCAGTTCTCCTGTTCCGTGTAATAGAACTCCAAACCGAAGCCGTGCCGGCGGCCAAAAGGCCGCCATGTTCGGTGCCGCCATCCACAAGGTGATAGAAGACATCCATTAGACCTTCGCTCCTCGGCAGGACCGTTGAATGTGCGCAGAGTACTCGGAGCGTCTGTTGGCAGTCGGCGAGCACGCAGCTACAGTGCACCTCCGTGCGGACGTCCAGCACTAGTTCCCTTGCCTCATGGAAGGCCCGCCGCAAGGCATTGCAGTCGTCCAGTTCTGGCCGGGGTGGAAGGCACTCCATGTCGTCCCTCACCAAGTATCGATTCGCCATGACCCCTAGATTGCCCACACGCAGGAAAGAACAACCACAAACGGTCACTCGTGAGCTTGGGGCTAAAGTCCACAGGCTCTTGAGCTGATGCGTCTGAGGTGGTGTTGCTATACCCCGCACTGCAGAGATTCCGCAGTCAGTACAACGAGCTTGCTCGTGCTCCACGAACCCCTGCCATGCGACTTTGTCCTAGATTGAAGCAAGCGCGGCGGTACACCATGCAGCGTACGAATACGCTCAGACATAACAGCCCACCGTATGGAAGCACCCGCCGCGGCGCACCACGCAGGTGAAGAATAAGCTCCAACATGGCCGCTCACCGTGTAGAAGGCTGGGGCTGGTGGGCTGAGGTTGGGCTTGAAATTGACGGTTTAGGCAGGGGATTCAATGCAAACAATGAGAAGCAACTTTTGTTTGTTTCCTTCATGAGGGTTTAGGGTATAGGGTTTAGGGTTGGGACCCGTTCCTCTCACTCCTGCGTGCCTTCCACCACTGAGGTTTCCGCCTGCCCTGCGCGCTACAGCCAAAATCCAAAATCCTGAATCCTAAACCCTGAGTTGTAAACAGCCCAAAATTTGAAGCCTTAAAACATCTTAAATAACCCCAAACCCTACACCCCTAAAACTTACGGTCTAGGGTTTAACGTCAGGAAACCTTAAACCCTGCCTGCACACCTCAAAACGGATGCCATGTAACTATAGCCCACGGGGCGGCCTGCCGATACTTGTGCGGCCAAGGAAGCCTGGAAGGTTGGGTTACAAGCGGACAATATTGCTAATCGTTCAATCCTCTATATTCGGGCCTTGGGGCTGGCTGTAGGGCGGTGTAGGGTTCAGGGTTACCGGCGTTTTCGGATGTAAGGCTTTGGTATTTACGTTCTCGGGCTCAGGGCTTGAGGGCTTGTGAGTGTGGGGGTTTAAGGGCTTTCGGGGAATGTAAGGGATGTGGGAACGGCCTCATGTCCATTCAGGACTGCCAACCTCGAAAAACAAAAAGCTCTGGCCAGAGCCAGGAATCTTAATCAGTACAACAGGGCTTTGTGTAATCCGGAACCAGGGATATGAACATCGGGACTAATTCAGGCCCTTGTAGCCCTTAGTACTTATCGCACCCCAGTACTTTCTGTGTCCCCCCGATCCTCCATGTAAAACTTCGGGGGTCCGAGGTTAAGGGGTTCTGGCTCCCACCTTGAAGCTGGGGCTTGCAGGAGCCGGGCTTTGGGGACGAGTGCCCTTGGGCTGCGGGCTTCTCGTATAGCAGCCCTTATACCGCACTTGCTGAATGCCCCTCTTGTTCTACGACTATTACTACCACCACCACCGCAACCACCACCACCGCCACCACCACCGCCACCACCACCGCCACGACCACCACGACCTGCCACAGCCAAGGCCACTACTACGACGACTACCGCTACTGCTATATACTGCCACTGCCATGGCCACTGCTGCTGCTACCGCGATACTGTTGCTGTGACGACTGTCAGACAAGAGAGGGCATGCATCTCTGCGAAGCTCTGATACCTACCCGACGAACCGGAACCTCCAGCCCTACTTAGAGGATCATTGGACTTAGTAAGCAGGGTGATAATTACCCTACTTAGGGTTATTAAGGAGATGGTAACTTCAGTGACCAAACCTATAACCCTACTTCGCCCGATGATCCTCTAAAAAAAACCCCAAACCTCCCTCGCCTGGCGAATCTTTGTCCAGTCTTCGAACTCCTTCACACGCTTCTGCTGCTGCAGTGCCTGCCGGAGTCATCCCCCGAAACCCCAAGGCCGCCCCCAAAAACTCCACTGATGCTGAGAACGCGAAACTCCCACACTCCAGCCGTAGACCCTACATCCTAAACCCCAATCCCTGCATGGATTCTACCGGCAGGAATCCTTCATGCGGTAGCCATTTCAGAGCATTCCAAACAAGATATGGACCCTAAGCCCTGCACCCCATCATAGAACAACCCAATACCCCAATCATGGTGTTGCAAAACCATCGCTTGAAACAACAACATGTCGTGATGTTAGCACACGTTTCTCTCGTAGACCCTGGGATGAACAGCTCTACACGACTATAAACCTCGACCGTCCAACAGCACGAGCCATCCGCAGCTACTAGCTAGACCTATAAATTTGTGCCCTGGACCTGATACCTCAATCAGTAAGCCCTGTTTCCCTAAACCCGAACCCCGAACACGATACCCTCAATCACCCCCAAAGACCTTGTCAGACCTGCAAAAAAAACTGGCCCGACCCCAAACTCCGAACCCCCAAACCCTGAACCCCTAAACTTCCAAATGCGAAACCCCAAACCCTGAACCCCTAAACTACTGAACCTCTGAACCCGAAACCCTAAACCCTAAACCCTGAACCCCTAAACCACTAAACCTCTAAACCCTAAACCCTGAACCCCTAAACCACTGAACCTCGAAACCCTAGTCCGAACTTCGAAACCCCATCCTCGGCAAGGTGGACGGCTGCATCTGGCCTGGGTGCTGCAGGAAAGGGTTGAAAAGGGGCTTCTGAGAGACTAAAACGGGCTGAAAAGGGCAGTTACAAGGGATTTCTACGGGGTTTTATAAGGGGTTGTTTATAAAGGGGTTCTGAAAGTGGATGATAAGGGAGTTATTAAGGGTCTATGAAGGGCTTGCCATGCGGTTGTCAAAGGTTTATGAGTTTGTTCACGATGGTGTTTGGCGTGCAAGAGTTTCAAGGTTTAGGGTTGATGCGCTTTAGAGTTAAGGGTCTTGGGGTTTAGGGTGTCACGAGTTCGAGTGCGGGGATTGGGATGTGGAATTGGGGTTCGGATTGAAGTCCAAAACCCCAAACCCTCAGCCCTAAACCTCAAACTCTGAACCCTAAACCCTTAACCCGAAACCCTGAACCCTAAAGCCTAAACCCACGATGCAAACAGCCATGAATGCCAAACCCCTGTCAAGGATCATAACAACAGGAAGCTTGGAACAGTCCCTTTTCGGGCAAGGACGCTTGGCATCAAAGTGAAAAGCCGTAATTGACTCCGAAGCCCTACACCTAGTGCCCTTCCACCCCCTCTGATCGCAGCACCCCAAGTAGAGCCCTAAGCCCGGCGTATAGTCTACAAACCTTAAACCCTACCACATAAGCACAGAACGCCCCGTATAAACGAACAGAAACCCTTCCAAAGACCTTCTGACGATCCTGGTAAACTCTTATGATAACTGATAACCCCTTGTTCAACCCTCGTAAACTCTCATGAAGCCCCTCCCCCCACAACCCCGGCTTGTCTTAAAGGAACCCTTGAAGGAACGCCTAAAAGAACCCTGAAAGGGAGCCCCTCGAGAAGGGGAGCCCTCAAAAGCCAAAAGCCCCCGTAACTACCTGCTTCAGACCAGCCTACTTAAAGGATCAGGGGACTTAGCAAGTAGGGTTATAAGTAAAGTAACTATAGTTATATCTACTTATAACCCTAATTAAGGTACTTATAGCCCTACTTACTGTCCCATGATCCTCTAAGTGGTCAACTCTTACGACGCCCCAAACCCTAAACCCTGAACCTTGAACCTATGTAGTCAACCCTCGCGACCCCCAAACCTTCAACCCTTGTCTTAACAGAACCCTAAACCCTAAACCCTGAACCTTGAGCCCTAAACCCTAAACTAAACCCCAAGTCCCTCCTAAACCCCACACCCTCATCTTAAGCACCCCCTAAAGACCATGTTCAAGCCCTGTTGTGCCCCCTCAGACCTTAAACCCTCATCTTAACCTGGGCTTTCAAGTAACCAGGGGGAAAAAAGTATACACTTTTATTTCATAATGGTTCCATACAGAAAAAAAGTATTAAAGTATGGTACTCCAAAGCCCAGTAACGGAACCCCAAACCCTATTCCCTAAACTAGACCCCAAGTCTCTAAACCCTAAACCCTCTTCTTAAGCGCCCCTCTCTGAGGTCGCAGACGAGTTGAGATCCAACTTCAGCTCCGCGGGGGCTTCAGCAAAGCCCAGCTCCGCGCAGTACTTTGCCACCTGTGCACTGCTTGCGTTTCGGAATTTGAGGCTGTAGGATGTCGTAGGTCTGTTGGTTTAGGCCTTTCGGCCGCCTAGCCGAGATCAGGGCCTTCCGGCTGTTGGGTGTGAAGGGCTTTAGGGCTTCATGGTTTTGGGGGCTTAGGCTTTAGGGTTTAGGGGTTTAGAGCTTAGGATTTTAGAGTTTGGGGTTAGAAGAATATCGTGTGAGCTAACAGGGGGACCACAATCCGTCTACACAACCCGGTTCAATTTTGCACAGAGAGCATAACGTAGCCAGATTCTGACCTTGAGTATGCTGCAGCATGGTAGCTTGCAGTATTCCGGTGCCAGAAAGCATACATACTGCACACGGTGTTGCATTGCAAGGTGCCACTGCAGAGCACACCACATTGTATTGTAGTTGAGTACCATATTAATATGATATGGTGCGAGGCAGTCGGCCCGAGCATAGCATGCTAAAAGCAAGCGTTTACTAGGTGGGGCTTTCAAAGCCTTCGAAAAATATTAGTAAATAAGATCCTCTTAAACCCAATAAGGGAAATATGAAATGTCCCAAAGCCCTACCTAGTTTAGAGTCTAGGATGCTGCACTATGTTGGAAGACTTGTACTGCAGATACGTCGATTATGCTGCCATGGACTTTTTGGGGGGAATCGTGGACCATGTCTTACCATAGTCCACCTCTGTGCGCATTTCCTCGGAAATATACCCTACTCTGCTGTATCATAGTGCGTCGTGTTGCAAAGCAGCATCGTAGTATCTCAATAACTTTGTACCCCGGTATTGCGACAGGATCCGCCTCCATGCTCAAGTCCCGCAGCATCGCCGAGCGGTCGAAGCTTAGCAAGAGCAGGCTCAAAAGCGTTGTACTGCAACCAGCGTCTGCAGAGAATGGTATATAAGCTCTATTAGGGACAAGGACTCAGAGAATACTGTGACTTCTGGCTGACGGAAGCGCCCCATCAAGCACATCCGAGGACAGCGCAGGCATGGCTCAAGCTTTCCAGCTCCTGGACACTGACTGCTAGCACTGATTACTTGTGGATCAGCAAGCCCACTGTAAGATTGAAAGGCTACGGTTTCTAAAAGCATATTATGGCATATTCGTTGTACTTTGACCGTTTCACCACCATCACTGGTGTTGGCCTTGCAGGTCAAGAGCAACTCAGAAAATCGACGCCGGAGAACGGCCGAAACAGGTTGACTCGGATTCCTTGCATTGAGGCCTGTTCACCAGAACTCGAACCCTCGAAGGCGAATTCCGAAAACCGTAAACTCCCTGAAATAAAATTTCTCCTAATCCCTAGAAGAAGCACAGCTGTGATTTTATCACGTCAGCTTGCACCTAGTTTAGGGTTCAGGCTGTAAGGTTTTTGCGTCTGAGGTTCAGGGCTAAACCTTTCCAAGGGAAAGCATCGGTGCCATGATCCAAGATTAAACAGCCACCGACCAACATGCTGCAGGACGAAGACGAGGCGACTGAAAAGAAGGCGACCCTGAAGCCCTAAACCAAACTTCAAACCGTTTGTCATTTTTGTGGTTTAGGGTTTAGACCTGGACACACCCCACCCCCACCACCACAACCACCAACACCACCACCACCAAAAAAACAACAACAAATAGAAAAAACACCCTGGTCACTGAACCCGCACCCTAAACCCCCAAATCCTAACCACCCTACCCTGAACCCTAAACCCTCAAACCTCAAGTCCTAAACCCTAAACCCCGAAACGCTAGCCTTAAACCCTAAACCCCCAAACCTCGAACCCTAAACCCTACACCCTGAAACGCTAACCTGAAACCCTAAACCACCAAACACTAAACCCTAAGCCAAAAGTCCAAAACGCAAACCTTAGACCCTAAACCCCTATACCCTCAACCCCCAAACTCCCAAGCCGGGTTTCGACTCCCTCAAATTCCTACACCCTAAACCTTAAAACCCCTTGAGCCACAAAAAAAAAACACCCAAGCTGGGATTCGACCTAAACCCGAAACCCGAAACCCTAAACCCTAAACCCTAATCCCTAAGGAATTCGACTCGCTCCTCGCTCGTGCCGCGCCGCGAGCTCCAGCGATGCGAGGGCGGCGTCGTGATCGCTGCCTTGGGGGCTTCGGGGTTTAGGTGTTTAGGGCTCGGGTTTAGGGTTAGGTTTTAGGGTTTAGGGTTTAGGGTTTAGGGTTTAGGGTTTAGGGTTTGGGATTTGGATTTTGGGATTGGGGTTTGGGGTTTTGGATGGTTTAAATATTTGTTTAGTTGACTTGTGCCCCGCTCCCGTGACCCCGAGGCACTGGCCGTTTGGGCCCTCAATGAGTGAAACAAACTTACTTGCGAGCCATCTCACTCTCACCACTGTCGAGGATTAACAACGTTTCAAGACGGGTTTGGGGGCTTGGGGTTTTAGGGTTCGAGTTTAGGGTTTATGATTATGGGTTGAAGGCTTCAGGATTTAGGGCTTAGGGTTTAGGGTTTTAGGGTTTCGGGATCAGGGTTTCTGGCAGGAACCTTTAACTCAAGCCTTAACCCGGGTCAGAGAACCAGAAAGAATCGCATCAATCCGAGACCCTGCACTTAAACAACAGTACTTACACCCTCTAGACTAGAACTAGGGCTATCTTATAGCGAGGGCTAGCAGGGGATACTCTTCCCGGCATTCAGACCTCTTCAGCAGACCTCAAATTTCCCGAACCCATCGCACCTTAACGAAAGCACGGAGCCAACGAGAAACCAGAAGCGGATCGAACCCAAACCCTAAACCCTTCCCCACTTAAAGGATCATGGGACTTAGTAAGTAGGGTTATAAGTAAGGTAACTATAGCTATATCTACTTATAACATTAATTACGGTACTTATAACCCTACTTACTAAGTCCCATGATCCTCCAAGCAAGCCCTGTCCAAACCTGAGGGCTCTCAAAACCATGATGAACCGTACATAGTGACTGATAACAAGTCTGACTGACCTTCAGTAGAGATCCAACTTACAAGAACCATGCTGAATCGTTTGGTACCGGAACAAGAACTCTCAGGAAAGAAACTCCATAAAGCCAAGCTAAAGCTCTTGTAAACCTATATAGCCGGATGAAACCCTACAAGGCCCTACAAACCTCTTATGAAACTCAACAACCCCTATAACAATACGACATAGAGTTCTATACAACACAGTTATAAAGAAAGAGTAACAAGAAAGTAAGTGAGTCAGTAAGTACGTCAGCAAGTGAGTCAGCAAGTGCGTCAGTAAGTAAGCCAGTAAGTAAGTCAGTAAGTGGGTCAGTAAGCACGTAAGTAAGAAAATAAGCAAGTAAGTGAGGATGGTTGTTTCCTGCTTTGTTTGCTTGGTCGCTATATTGTGGAGTAGCTGAGTTTTCAGGAAGATAGGCTTCTAAAACTACCCTAAACCCTACACCCTAAAACCCCTCAAGGCTTCCGGCCGCCAGACAGAGCGAGTAGAACGGCACGGCCAGGACTGGCAACATCACGGCCGAGAAAAGGAATGTAGGGGTTTAAAGGTCAAGGCCTCAGAGCCCAGTGCTCAAAACCCTAAACCCCAAATTTCAAAAAAATACCAAACACAAAAAAACATGGGTTGAGGGGTTGAAGGAAAAGGTTTGGAAAACCCGAACCTACACTCTTCGGGGTTTGGTGGTTTAAGTTTGGGGTCGAGGGCTCGGTGCTCAAAACCTAACGAAAAAGATCCTAAACCCTTTCAGGGTCTACGGGGTCAAGGTGAATGATTAATAAAGGGTCTACAGTTCAAAAACCTTTAGACCCTAAACCCCTAAACCCCTAGACCCTAAAACCCCTAAAACCCCGAAAACCCCGACAACCCTCAACCCCTAAACCCCTGAACCCCTGAACACCTAAAACCCGTAAAACCCCTAAAACCCCTAAAACCCCTAAAAGTCCCTAAAACCCCTAAAACCCCTAAACCCCCTACAACCCCTACACCCCCTACGACCCCTAAAACATCTAAAACCCCTAAAACCCCTAAAACCACTAAAACTCCAAAAACCCTAAAACCCCTAAAACAAACCCTAAAACCCCTAAAACCCCTAAAACAAACCCTAAAACCCCTAAAACCCCTAAAACAAACCCTAAAACCCCTAAAACAAACCCTAAAACCCCTAAAACAAACCCTAAAACCCCTAAAACAAACCCTAAAACCCCTAAAACAAACTCTACAACCCCCAAAACCCCTAAAACAAACCCTAAATCCCTACAACCCTGAACCTTCAGGATCCAGCAGCTGCCTTTCTGTTTTCTGCTACAGCTCGGAGAGCAAAACTCGAAGCTTTTGTCGGTTCTTACTTAGAGGATCAAGCGCCTAAAGGGAGTAGGGCTCCTTAATGGGCTCCTTAAAGGGATCTGTAGGACACTGTAGGGTTTAGGGTCTACTTAGAGGATTAAGGGACTCAGTATGCAGGTTGTAAGTTTGGCCATTGCACTTTCATCTGCCTATAAGGCAAATTACGGTATATATGAACCGCCTTCCTAAGTCCCATGATCCACCAAGTAAGCGAACAGTAGGGCCGAAGCCCTAAGCCCGACCCTCCACCCTCACAGCTTCAGGGCATCGGGGCTCGGGGCCCCTGATAACCTCAAAACCCTAAACCCTGAAACCTGCACCTTAAAACCCCAAACCCCTGAAACCCTGAAACCCTGAAACCTGCACCTTAAAACCCCAAACCCTGAAACCGTGAAACCTGCATCTCAAAACCCCAAACCCTGAAACCCTGAAACCCTGCACCCTAAAACCCAAAAGGTTCAAGGACTCCAGTGCCTTGGGCCTTAAACCCTACAACTTAGGGCCCTGAAGCCTAGAACCCTAAACCCCAAGCTCGTCGGGACGGCCCTCCGAAGCATTGGCGCAAGAGGCGTGTGACCTGGCAAGGGCGCTCAGGAAGCCCCGCACTTCGGATTGTTGGGGCGGTGCTCGTTTTCTCCAGGGTTCCTTTAAGGGTTCCTTTTAAGGGCTACTATAAGGGTTATACTATAGGGGTGTAGGGTTCTTAGTAGGCTGTCTGGTCTAGTAGGGAATGGGGGAATGGATTATGGGGGCTATTCTTTGGATTATATTGAGACTTCTACAGGGAGCTACGGAGCACCAGGGAGTTTTGTTGTGTCGTTGCTTGTTTGTTGCGTGCTGTTTGGAGGGGAAGCAGAAGTGAGGTCTTGGTGTGATTCGGGGGGCTTGGTGGTTCGTGGGGGGAGCTTTCGGCTTTGGTTCCTGAGCCCTGGGATTGGGAGGCAAAGACCAAAGTCACGGCGATGTAAATAACATACACTTGTGCTGAAGATGAAAATGACAACGAAGAACGTTCTTGTGATGATGACGACGATGATGATGGTGGTACTGACAGTGATGTTGATGATTGTATTTACAGCAGGGATGGGGATGATGGCAACGACGACGAATAGCAAGTTGATAATAAGAAAACTACTCTAAAGATGACCATGAGGATGACGAGGAAGAAAGCGATGGTAGCGATTACACTGGCAACGCTGCTGCTTATGTGTTAATGACAGCGGTGGCAGTGATGGTGGCAGCGATGGTGATTCTGGTGATCGTGATTTCGGTCGAACGAAACTCAAGATGCACTGCTGATGAGGATGATGATGGTTGTGCTGGTGCTCCTGGTCGTGCGGGTGTTGGTGGGTGGTGGTGCTGGTGGAGCAGGTGTTCCTGCTGCTGGTGGTGCTGGTTATGGGGCTAGTGATGGGGCTGGTGCTGGTGGTGCTGCTTGTGCTGGTGGTGCTGGCGGTGCTGCTGGTGCTGCCGGTGCTGGCGGTGCTGGCGGTGCTGCCGGTGCTGCCGGTGCTGCCGGTGCTGCCGGTGCTGCTGGTGCTGCTTGTGCTGCTTGTGCTGGTGGCGCTCGTGGTGCTCGTGGTGCTGGTCGTGTTGGTGGTGCTGGTGACGGGGGTGGTGCTGGTGGTGCTGATGGTGCTGCTCGTGCTACTGGAGGCGCGGGGAGGGGGGAGGGGCGGTGGGTGTGACGGTGATCAGCATGGTGCTGCTGCAAACTCATGTTCATGCTGGTGTCAATGCTTTGCTACTGTGTGAACATGCTTCCACCGTGACCTTCAAAAAAAAATGTGCAGACAGACTCGGGGATAATCTATGAGCATAGCAGTATATGACGAATGCCACACGAAAGTGGCAGCTCTAGTCTGATCTCTTAAGCTCCTGAAGTCTCAAACACCTAAACCCCTAGGCCCTGA